TCCGAACATTTTGCGTGGTATTTATATTCATATATAGTTTATTAATACATTTATAACGATATTTTATAAATGAGCGGGTTTAAACTTGAAGTATTTATTTTTATATATATTTTATTTATTGATTAATCATTTATCATTACCGCTGTGGTGTTGTTTACAGTTATTCACTGATTCTGTCTTTTTGGCAATGACAAATATAGCACCATATGATCTATAAAATTATAAAATTATTTCATGTCTATAAATTCTATTTTGAATACTTGGTGATCATTTAAAGTCAGCTTTTCATTATTGAATTACAACAAAAAACAAAATCGATTTTGTTCGAAACGAGTTTTGCGTAGATATTTTCAATTTTCAATAATATCTTTTTTTTGTACTTCACGGTTTATTAAAAAGTACTTTGATATTTTTTGTTTGACTCAAAATTTACAAACTAGATCCAAATCTACTAACCTAATAGAAAACTTAGAAAACCACAGTTACAAAAAAAATAAAAAAAATGAACACGCATCGTTGTAAATTTAATACTTTCATATTTTCGCTCAGAATGTAAAATATAGGTTATTTACCGATATCAGAGTTTCAGAGAGACGAGAAGAAATTGTATTGATTTTACAATTCAATTTTTTTTATTAAGTAGTAAAATGTCTTTAAAACTCAAAAGTATAATGTATCATAATATTAATATATTATTATGCATACGTTTGGGAATTAGACGTGTAATAATATGAAACTAAAAGAGAATGGAAATCGGATTACATTGTCAGTCATCGACCTGTGATATTATTTTGAAAGCACGAAAACCATTAATTGTAAGTAGTTTAAATTAATGGGTATGATGAACTGATTTATTAAATATAGAAATAAGGACCAATTATTATTATTTAAACAGTAATATTATAATTTGTTGCAATTTAAAATTGTAATTTGATTAGCGGTGTTGTGCATTATCTAGATAAAAAAAATTACCTTTTATCTTATCTAGATAAATAAAATAGTTATCTGAAAAAAATTATCTAGATAATTTTTTTTGCTATTTYTATTCGATTTTATTTTCAAGTTATAATAATTGTAAATATTTACACGTCGAATAATTCGTAGTATTTATTTTATTAATTTGAATTTATGCAATATACCCATATAAATATAATATAATACTATTGATTATAAATGTATAAATACCAAGTACCTAATGGCTAATAGTATTTGTGATCAATAATAATACAGAAATATTAATATAGACATCAATACAATTAAACATAGTTGGTTTCTGGAAACCATAGACCTATTAAATAATTAGTGGCTCGTTAATAGGTCTATTCTGGAAACGTATTGTATTATTGGCGACTTTTTACTATGTATAGCAACGAGTCACTGGCCTAAACGTTCAAATGTTTCATAAATAACGATATTTTATTATAAACTTGGATTATCATATTATGATTAAAGTAATAAATAATAATAAAACCTACCACTGACTACTGAGAATAGCAAACAAACGACAGTAATTTCTAATCAGTGAAAATGGACAGTACCTATGTTTTCAAATATTATTTAGTTATATTTATAAAATATTATTAGCCTAAGTGTTGTTTGCATCCTAAATGTACTTAGAAAATATTAGAGAAAAGTGCAAATAATAAAAAAAAGAGAACAAACTTTATATTATTTTATTTATAACGAGATTTCCATTTTACAAATGCAAGGTTTAAATTGTGTAAGTTTTTTTCAATTATCTGTTTTTTATCTTGATAAATGTGGTTATCTTTTATCTATTATCTAGATAAATATTTAAAGTATTATCTATTATCTTATCTAGATAAATATTCAATGGATTATCTGTTAGGTATCTTATCTAGATAATTTTTTGGTTATCTTTGCACAACACTGTTGATTAGTAAGGTTTTAGTAGCCGTAATTAAAAATACAAACCGAAATTAATAAAATTTAAAGATGTCTAATCGAAAAATTATTATGGTATCTATTACATAATAAATATAGGTAAATAATTAGGAAATACATATTTTTTTTTTTATCAAAGTTTTCAAGACTTTTTGCAACTTATTATAAAATTACTTAAATTAGTACTAAATATATTACATTTAATTAATTTATGTGTGGTAAAAATGAATAATTCATTCAGATGAATATAACATTATTGAATTGTTTAAATTGATTTGAATTTAACAATACGCTACAGTAGTCTTAAATTTAATTTCTAGTTTAAATTAATTCCGAAACTTATATTTTTCATGTAAATGAAAAATAAAAAAACGCAGAGCTCAATAAAAATTATTTAACATTGTTCATGAAAGTATTTAAAATATTTTTATGCATTTTTATTAAAAAAGCCATTCAATTATTTTTGATGGGAATTAACAAATAATTTTATTTTAATATTTTTTTACAATTAATATTATTACTATATTTTGTTTTGTACATGATCACTTTTTTAGTAAAAGAAAGTCACTAGATGAGAATTTTTTTAGCTGTCAGTTTAGATTTTTAGTGATGGTGGTGGAGGAAACGAGTTTTAATAGTGTTTTGACGATTTTGCGGTATCTTGTGAAAATTATTATTTGTTATGTATATACCATAATGGATCGGAGACAAGTGGACCGAAATTCATGCATTGGGGCGTGCTGAGGTTCAAGGGTTCCTACTTGTATTTCATATGCTCAGACGGGTCTTATTATGACTTTTTAGATTGTTACTTCGCAGTGGGTTGGAAATTTATATTGTATTCTTATCTTACCGGATAAAGCAGGCTGAGAATGGAATTGGTTGATATTTGTTTAGATTTAAGGCGATAAGTGCAAGTCAGGCGCTTGTCAAAAGTTAAGCCTAGATATTTTATCTACTTAAGATACGGTAAGGATTATGTTTTTGATCAAAACATTGATCAATGTTTTGAAATCAAATTGGGGAATTGGTTTTGTTAGTCTTAATTTTCTAACGGTTGGATCATAATTATACCATCATGTCAAGATATCTTATTAATAAGATAAAATTATATTGCTTGTTAAAAAATATTGGGAAAATTAGCCGCAAACATTTTTTTATTTTCTAAATGTTTAGGGATTATAATATATAGGTATATTATTATACGGTGAAAACCAAATAATTTCAGAAATTAAATGGAGCTTTCGCTTATTTTATTAAATGCTTAGGATTTGTTCACTTGTTTAAAAATAAATAGTCCATAAAAATGTATTTAAAGTTGTGTTATATTTAATAACTGTAATCTGAAATTGGTGTTATTATGATCAGTGTTTTTAGTTACTTTAAATTATTAAAAATATAAAATACGCTTAAGTATAAGCAACCCGATATTTTTTCATATTATAATAATTGAAGGCTCAAAACTGAAATTAAAATATCGGTATTTTAATCGGAACGATTTGAAAATATTCGAACTGAAACCTTACATGAAACTTTTCTCGATTTAAGATTTTTTTTGAAAAACATCACATTTGAAATCCGAAACAATCATAAAAGGTTCTAAAGCTGACTTCAAAAAAATATTTTTATACATTAAATTAATTTTATTTACTTTTACATCTAAAAGATGCCTATCACATTATTAATATTATACACATATCAAATACTACTTTCATTGATGTTATTGGTGTTAACAGTTTATTGATATTTACCTAAATATTTATTACAGTGGTTAATTCAAGATTTTGTATCGTGGAGGAGGGTCGAGGGAGTATGAATTATACAGAGCTCGCACTTAATCGAGGGTGGACTGGGCGGCCTTTAAAGTGCGACCATTTCATGAAATTAATTATATAATATGCAGAAAATACGCTGTTATCTCCCCTCCCTCCATAGTAAGTACACTATTGATCATGATGGCTATTATTATAAATAAGCTAATATGTCTACAATTTTAAAATACAGCGTTAGAATAATAATACATTTTAATTATTTTGGGCTATTGTGTAGTTAACAAGAGCCAATAATATGAAAAACTCTCGGATAAGAGTGTTTAATATCGTGAAGACGTGTATATAAACTGAAGCGTGATTTGCTTGGTTACATTTAAGTCAATATTAAACATAATATAAATAACAGTTGTTTACTTAACAGGAGGGTAAAATATTATATGCGTCAACATTTCTAATTTAAATATTTAAACGTGAAAAGTACGACGTGAAATAACGGCTTGGAATAAAGTACAGCGTGAGGGATGAAATTGAAAATAAATGAAATAAAGACATTTTTGGACTTATTAAAAATACGTGTGCACTAGAGTGAAGACATTTTCTGAAAATTAAACATAAAATMGTGTTGATATTAAACGTTGATCAGTGGCGTTTTTGGGATCTTTTTTAATAGAAACGGATTTACACAAGTCTCAGTAATCGGAAATGCAAATTACATCAAGACGACAAAAGAGATGAATAATAATAATAATAATAATAATTCATATTCAATAAGATGTCCGGTTAGATATTTTTACGAACTACACACTCAATATTTGTGTCGATCACATCTATAGTATAATTTTTAATAATATTCACACTATTATTATATTCAACTTGCCACATCCAGGAGTTAGGTCTACAATAATTTATTTAATCATTTATAAGTTTATGGTTAAACCAAAGATTACTGAACCAAAAGGGATTGTTTGGTATTTATTTGTTTATTTTTGTAACTTTCTTAAAAATAGTTGAGAAATTGAAAAATTAAGTTTAAATATTTAAATATTTAAAATGGCCCATCATACAACTTTTTGATCTTTTGCTGCCAAGAAGTTAAGTCACCCAGTACAAACTTATATTTTCAATTATGATATGTTTAGAAATAACGCTGTTTACTAATTRCTTGAAGCTTTTACTTTTACTTTCTTATAAGCTAATTTATAACACATTTGCATTAATTAAGTATCAACATTTTTTTTATTTATACCTATCTATTTAGGCATGATAATAAACAATCAAAGTTAAATAATTGATATTGATTAAGTATGAGTATAAACTACTTACGTTTAAAATTAGTAGAAAAAAATCGATAGTATACAAAATTGCTGTCGGTGGATTGAATTCAACCTGTAATAATAATTAAAACATCAGAAATTCAGTATAATAAATGTATTATTACTTGTACTAAAATGAGATGTATATAATTTTAATTTATCTAAATGTCGTTTAAATGATAGTTAAAAAGTAAAAACCTTTGTTGTTGAAGCCTTTTATAATAATAATAATAATAATAATAATAATAATAATAATAAATTATAATAATATTAATTAATGGTTTTTACTTAATGTATAATATAACGAGGTTTAAATGCTCTAAAGGTGTACGTGATGATGAATTTTTCATATATTTTTCATAATCACGAGCTATCTGTAGAAGATTTCTATTTTTATCATCTAATCAAATATATAAACAGTTACTAAGCATTTTTTCTTTCAACAATACATTGATTCGAATTATGATTTTTGGAATTTTTTAAATAAACGAAAATACCATATTATTTTTAAATTTTGGAAGCTTTTTTTATAATTCTAAGAAGTGTCCTAGCTGTAGTAACACAAATATGCGTTTTTTAAAAGTAAGGTTTATAAATTATATAGTGGATAATAATTTTGAAAATTTTGATGTACTAAATAAAAACAAAAAAATGTTCTTTAATTTAAAAGTGTTTAAGTGGACCTATGATGGTCCATGAAAATGGTTTTAAAAATTATAAAATATATGTAACGTTGAAGCTTGTGTTTATTATAGGTTAGGTTAGATTTTAGGGTCATTTATACAAATTATAAGTATTGATTGATTAATATTAATTACCAAAACTTTAAAATTACCATACCTAGCTCCCATTTATTCTAAACACGTCATGGAACTATTATCATTAGTCGAGCCCAGTACCTACATAAAGTTAAATAACCCAAAACTAATCGTTAACATTTTGATTTTGATACTTCAAGTTTCAGAAAAATTATACACTACATAATTGATAGTTCTAGAAAAGGGGGATTCTCATATAGAAAATATAAGTTTTAAAAAAAATTTCAAGAATTTGAAAATATGGTCTCTTATATTCAAAAATTCAAAAACCAGACTTAAATTATATAAAAAAATCAAATTGTTTAATAAATTGTTTGACGTAGGAAAATGTGGGCGATCATTCTCAGTGATTCACCCTGCATAACATTATAAAATCAAGTCGTCGAGCGCGTTCACACCTGTCACCTGTCACGGCTATGTTATATTGAATATGACGTGTGAGTTGTGGCCGAATGATGTGCTGTATTGAATTTTAATACGAGGTTGTACCTATGGTTTTCAAAAAAAAAAATCAGATCGAATCAAATGACAACCATTCGAAATATGTACTGATAACATTATAGTCTTGAACATCACATGGAATGGCATTTTATAAACAATATCGTATAAATATTTATACATATAATAATATAACATAGCTATAGTAGGTATTGTGTTATTGCAGTATTAAGTTTGAAATTAAATCGAGCCAAGTTAAATACTAAAAAAATTAACGGTTAACAAAAAAACAAACGATCTTACCGATTTTAAGTAATTGTTTTAAAGTACTCTGTTGTTAATATATCCCCGTTGAAGCCACCACCTCATTTGGAAAATTTATTTGAAATGTTGAACTATATTTTCACTAAAAATAATTCAAGGGAAATAATTATATAGAATCATGTTGGTCTATATCATTCTTGTCGGGGAGATAAAATTTAGCCCTCAGATTATTATGAAATAAAAACACATGCATTTAAATTCTGCCACGATTTCTTATTTGATAGACTGGTTACTTGGATGTTTTGGAATTGTCAAATTGATACCATTAGAACTATAATGTACCGACATAATGTACAAATGGCTAGTTTTTTTTAGTTACACTCACACTTGAATTGATTACTGATGTCGGCCACTGGCCACAGCACCATGGAGTGCTTGACGTCATCCGTATATTTCAAATCAATCTCAATTTCATCATAAGCTGTCATAAGTGTTGCAGTTGTTAATCCTTCTCCGGTAACACAACTAACACGAAGAAATTTCAAAAACTCTTCACTCATTATCATCTATGTTATACTGAAATAACTAGCGTAATTTCTGTAGTTTTATAAAGTTTACTATATAATATGTTCATATATTTTAAATTCTGAGCGGAGCGATGAATGTATTGATTTTACAATGTTATGGGTGGTTTTTTTGTGTGTGTGTCTATGTACACGATAAGTTGTAGAAATAATTTCTCGTGTACCAATATTCTTACTTTAAATGTTATTCAAAAACGAATAACCGTAGAAACTTGAAATTCACACGATATGTTAAATTTATTAATTCCTGTACTTGATAAAATATTTTAAAAAATTTTTAATTATTTTTAGACTTTTGAAATTTTCCGTTATTTTAGTTTTTTATTCTATAAATGTCAATAAGATTTTATCCGTTGGGTCAAAAGACTTGAAATTTAATAAAAGGTTCCCCATAAGTTTATAGAATAGCAGTTGGAAAACATTAAAAATACATAGGCACGTTTTTTTAATACCAATTAAAGTTCAGATTTTTACAAAATGTATTTAATTGAAAATTTACAAATTCTTCAGTTGTTAAAAATGTATAAAACGTTTAAATTTTATAGCTAAGATTTAAAACAAGGTTCCACGTAGATAGATAATGCTGTTGCAAAAAAAAATCTAAAACTATTCAAACACAGTTTTTTTTGTAGTTATTTTAAGTTCAAATTTGGATAAAATTACATATTAAACAATCAAGAATAACAATTTTAGTTATAGTTGCAATTTGTTGGATTGTTGGGTACATAATGAATCTGATTTGATTAATTTGGAATTTGTTTTATAGTTATAGGTATATCTCCATTTTTTTTTTTTTTTTAAATTATAACATTATAATTAATATATATTATAACATATCCTAGACTGACAAACCGTCTCCACTCAGAATCGTTTTACGTATACAATGATATTATCATACCATGGAATTCAAATTTAGTACTATTCATTACAGTAACCCACTAGTAATCTACTGTACAGCAGAGCGACATTCACTTATCAGCTTTTTTCAAAATTATTATACATAGATAACAAAAATTTAGGAGGTTCAAAACTGGTTTCTTTAATAATTTTTACTTATTCATTTTCATTTTGATTAAAAAKCACATAAAACATATTGGAAATCACGTAGAGCAAATTGATCGATATCATTTTGTCGATCAACTTACTTAATTGCAATTAATAATTCACCCAGTGAAAATTTAAAAGTATTATCTTTTTTCAAAATGCCAGCACATTTATTTAAGGGACAAGCTACGATACAATAAAATATAATATGTACCTATGAAAATAAGAAACTGTCAACTTGAACATCGAGGGCGCAATAATTAGAATAAAAATTAAACCGAGCTAAAATATTAAGCTTGAGGAGCGGAAGGACTACGCCCACGTCTTTTATCGAGTCGCATAAAACAATATAATATTCAACACCAATATAAGAGAGAAGAGGGTTGTTTATAATTAATTAATTTGAAACATACCTTTCTGTCATTACAAAAAAAAAAAAAAAACAAATGAATTATATTTTTAATACCTCGTGTTCGCGTGGATAAACATGATATAAGATTGATGATATAAAAAATGAAACAAAACAATAATATTAAATCAATTTTTTATTACATAATTGTTCATGTACTATGATGTATATTGATTGTAGAAAGGCTTGTCAATACTAAATTAATTTATCTATTATGATAATAATATTGTGGTAAAAACTAGTGTAAATTTAACTAGATAGCATCAATAAAAACTTATAAATATGACCAATATCAATTAATTTATTATTAATAACATGTGTTAAATAGTTAATAATAGTTCTAAAAGACAAATAAATATAGTTTTAAATTAATAAAATATTTGTAAAAAAAATTCGAAAATGTAATATTTTATTAGTTGTATATACGTATCAAATTAGTTTAAATAATAAGTATTTTTTTTGAAAATATTTTATTTATTCACGTAAGATGTTGCGTCCCAGAAACCTTACGGGATAAGATTAAAAACAACAACCCGTCTTATAAATTATACATGTACAAAGCAATTATATATGATGCGCGTATACAAAAAAAAACCCTCCTAAAAGACCGTTAATGTCAGTAAAAAAAAAACTACACAACGAAAAAGATTCAATTTTGAGAAACGTTGTATTTTCCGTATAATTTATCATAGTCAAAGGATTCTTATAATCGATTTGGAAAAAACAACCACCGAAACTTTTGATTGAAACACAATTACGTGCCAAATGAACCTTTCTGAATGGATGTAAATTAATGTCTAAAAGTTAAAGTTGTTTTAAAGGGTCGACAAAACACGTAACCTATCGAACATTTCTAGGAGCGAGCGTGCCTTTAGTCTAGTCTCCACGATATGGGCGGAATAATGTTGAACCAGACGTGATTAATAATTAATAGTTTGTTCGACCACTATACAAGTCCTCCAGCCTCCGTAACCAATACTTTAAACTTCCTATCCCACGTTCAATTAAATATACTGGCTGCGGTCGATTAAAATTGCAAGCCATATACTACCTATAAGTGTATATATTATATAAAACTTGAATAACACAATACTCGTCGAGATTAAAACGCTTACAACGAAGAAACATATAATGTACAAAATACCCATTACTTATACGACTTAATATCCGGAGTAATCACATTACATGCTGATAAAATAGTTTTGAAAATACTGTTCTCGATTGTAATACTACAGGAATTGGTTAGTGTTCAGAAATATATTCTAAAAGTTTTACTCAAACATAATATATGATATACATACATATATTATATAAATAGCAAACAAAAATGTCGTTTAAATATCAAAAAATAACCGACTGCGTTTGAGCAGTTCATTGAAAATTTCTCAAAACACAGTATTTTATTACAAATTATAAGGTAGTCGTGTAATTAAACATTAAATTCACTAAACATTAAATTTTAAAATATGCCTTAAACAGCTTTCTAAATTCTTGTGTGCCAAAATTTTTAATGTATACCCGCGGAACTAAAAGTCTGCGCACTCTGATGGTTAAAATTTTCAATAATTGTATATAACTCGTGTTAAGTATAATTATTTTGAAATAAAAAGTATTTACGACACTTAGGTGAACTCTTCAAACAATTTGGAGAACATTAAATCATGAATTCATGTCTTGAACGTAATTTAATCGAATGCCACTACTGAATTGAAAATATGTTGTCCTGTTTTTTATTCATAATATCAAGTGTCTATAAAATTACAGTGCATATTTTGTTTGCTCTTGTAATAAGCTACCTGTTGTACTGAAAATAATGATCGCTTCAAGTCATCCACATAAATCAAATACTATACAAAATATCTGGGCACTACGTCGATAATATCGATTATGTCCATGAAAAATCTACGAATTGATAAAATAAAAAATTATAATTTAAGCAAGATTTAATCATTTATTGTTCGTTTTCAATATAATATATCATACCTATCATTTTGTACGTGTAGATTTAATGAAACTGCCAATGTTAATTAGTTTAAGCTTCGTATTGCGTGCGTACAAACGTGATAGGTATAGTTTGTCTTCTACACAATGAAATCGTGACAGCAACTACGTGAAATTGATTAAAAATTCGGTTTTATTTATGTTGCATAAGTGTGCTGTTTTGTAAGAATGTAATGCGATATTATAATAATTATGAATTAGGTCGTAAAATAAATATAATTACATTTTAAAACTAATTAATGAAATCTCAAACCGACGCCACCTGAGAAATAAATCTATTACACATTTAGGACAGTAATTTGCAGTTAGAAGAGGAAATTATATTCTTATATGGTATGCTATATGTCCTAGAGAATATGCGAAACATATTATTGAAAATGGTTATTTCTCAATGAAGAGAAACGCTTAAAAGTAAAAAACTAACTTCATAAAACTTCAGAATCCAGATACACAATAATATTATATTAAGTATGGAATGTAAAAAAAAATGTACAGCTAAAAATCGGAGTTATGTTTGATGAACATAAGACATTAAATTACAATATTATAATTTAATTTAATCATAATAATTGTGAAAGTGGGTGTTATATAGATAAAAATCACTTAACATACTTCAATGGAGTATAATATCGACATTTTCAACTGACAAAACATAATAGTTAATAATATTCGAACGAAATATTAAAAAATTCATCTATGCATAAATATTCCTTTCAACATTCACAGGAAATTTGAATAAATTGTATTTATTTTTGATTTAAATGCAAGAATTACTACTGCACACTTCTCCAGTGCAGTCGTAATAGTCACACACGAAATGTGCTCTCTGCTTTGATGGTCGTACCGATAATTCTCAAAAGGGCGGTCAATTTACAGTCATGGTATAATAATTATAGGTCCTTGATGTAAAATGTATTCAAAGCAGAGTACTAGGTACTAAGTACTTAATATTCAAGTGGTAGTCATATAATGTCATACATAAAATTGAAGAGTAGGTACATCAAAATACATTCGTAGACTCGAAGTCCTGAACTTTGGTTACCGTTCAGGAAAGCATGACGACAACAGTTTAATGATTTAAGTTTCTCTTATTGTGTTTAGAGCCGCGTTATAATAATGTGATAAACGATTTACCGTTAAAAAAAACTTTCTACTTATAGTTTTCAAGAGTACCTCTCCGAGTATGTTTTTCTTTTAATATGAAGTTAAATGACGTAATAAAAGAACAATGAGGAAACGGTATATTTGATAAATTACTAATGAACCAACTGCACGGTTGTGTTCCAACATGAAAACTGTCCAGATACCTACCCATATTTAGAAACTCGAATAATTCGTATTTTCTTCTTCTTGGTATAACCTAGCCTAACCTATATTACTAATATATATTCGTGCAGTTACATAATTAATTAGATGTATTATGTATATAAGTATGCTCATTAATTTTATTACATTACTTTGTCCATTAGTTCATTTTTATTACATTTTCAATTTCTTTTATTTATATTATATTATAATATGTGTGCACTTATGTGCCTAATTATATATTATTATTATTACTGAAATCGCGAACTAGCATTATTATCATACGTAATAATAATATACCAACATAATATTTATTATTCAACGGTGATATTCGTAGTTTATTTATTCTTGCGAGGTTTGCATTTATTATGTTTATTATGTAAGTATTATCGTTGTCTATGTTTGAAGCTTTATTTTGTTATCAGTAATCACTCCCCAACTCGACTAATTTAATTAATAAAACGATATACTCCAGTATGGAAATTAAGTAATATCTCAATATTTTGGCTTTGATCATTTTGATTACACAAAAAAATACATCATCATGAATAATTGCAGAGTACGCGAGTGAAATTAAATAATTGCGCTCAAATGTATATGGACTAGCTGTTCTAACTATTATTTAATTTAATAAATTAGAGAACAACTGAAACTACGACCATGAGAACAGCCTATCCAGGAATCCTTTAATGCAATTAATTTTATTATGAAGATTTAGTTCATCTTAACGAGTTTAAAGTGTAATGACATTATAAAAGAAGAGAAGTAGTTCGCAAAAATATAACTCACAGAAAAGTCAATTTTGGATCATATTATTCATTTTAATAGGTTTGGCGTTAACTCGACACCGGTGGTATATAATGACCACATACTTTATAGAGTACCTACATTATTTGTCTGAATACGCGTATTTGCCCTTTTAGAACACATACGAAACCATACAGAACATTTATAGTGTTGAGTAAAATTCACAAAAAAATAAAAAATAAAAATAATAAATAATCATTGTGCGTTTTCACTAAGCACGTAGTGAATTTATTATGATGATATTTAACTGAGAGTAGTAGTTATATAATTAAGAATATTAAGATATTATGTAAGTAGATTGAACAAATGGGTTGATTATAAACGTCATGTTGACTTGATAGACATCTTATGTTAATCGGATTATGGAGGGAACACATTTATCGCCGACCGATGTCAAGAGTCAAGACTACATTTATTTACAATTTAAACTTGACGAAGCTGAAGAGATTGCCAAATTAATTTAATAGATACACTCATGTTTCAATCAATTTTAATTGGTCAATAGAGTCGCAATGATGACTTAAACCAGCTTTTGAAAAATGCACCGCGATAAACTGAGGAGCGGTCGAAGTCAGTGCGTAGAGTCAAAAGTGCTATCAGATGACATATATATCTCAAAGTTAATAAATAATATGCTAATAAATTGGGTACAGAACTACGAATTAATACCYGAGTCCCAAAGGCATTTGAGAGAGTCATTGTCTAAGGTTCATGCGATTCATGCAAAATAGACCGTATCAAGATGTGATTCACTTGCATATTTTCCTGGTTTGCTAATTAATTGTATGCATATGACTACGGTTTACTGAATAACCGTTGCATTATACGTTTTAAGTATATATTATAAACTTGGCTTTAGGTATTGATGTTTTTTTTTATTGTTACAGCATCAACTACAATATACGTTATATACGCTGATAATTAAGGTTTAAGTTAAAATTATAATGTAAATATTAATTAAGTATACATTATAATGTACCAAGAGTGATATTTACAATGATGTAAGATTAAATTAAGCTGTATAGTTCAATATTTTTTATTGAGTTGATGGTTTTTCTACTGTCAGCATAGACGTTTTATTACAATCACATTTARTTATTCATTATAATTTTAATATCGTTCCCACGATAGGAATATTGTTAATTTGCATACCAACTACCAAGTGCGCCATCTCATAAACAAGGCGATATTTAATAATAGGTTTACAAAATGTATATCCTTTAAATTGAGTAATTTGAGTTAATTGAGCTCTTGAGTAATTTTAATGAACTTGATTTAAGAATATTATAATATTTATAAATAATAAATATATTGATTGTTAAGAAGATATAAAAGAATCTTAAATTCTTTAAAACAATAAAAATATTAAATCTGGAATAAGATAATACCAACAATTTTAATATACATACCAACATAACTAATAAATTATACTTTAAAACTTTATTTATTTTTATTCTATTTATATTATTTTCTCGACTTTTAATTAGGTAATAAGTATTATAAAAATGAAAATGTATATAAAAATTTAATGCTAACGGCTTTAAATTTCAAAGTAAAAATTTATAAATTCAAAATCAATAAAAAAAGAATCTTCTTAAATATTTTAAATTTTAATATTAACTTTTAAAATAATTTATTAGTTGAGTCATTTATTGATTAGCCGAATGAATAATGAAAAGAAAGTTTTATATACGTATCAGATAATTCACTGAAAATTGCCCAGTGATTGAAAAATGAGTAAATAAGTGTTTATTATACACGAGGGGGTCAACACAGTTATCAGCTTATAATTCGTRAATTAATAGGTATTTATTCTTAAATCAAAAAAAGTCTGTTATCGTCAACGACATAGTATACGGGCCAAGTAAATAATTTGAGGTATACAGTAAACACTATCATAAACCCAATGCAATTTAATTTGCAATACTTCAATTTTCAATAAATATAATTGAACTAACTTTTACTGCCCATTTTTAATGGAGCATTTTACTATTATTTTTTGAATGTATATTTACCGTATCAAGTCCATATAAATATATTGAATGTGCGACGTCAACAGTAGTTGCTAAGATCATTGCAAATATCCAAGGTACGAACAAAACTCTGAGATCCTGAAACATAATAATCAGAAAATAAAATATTGAATATAGCGTGCATTATTATGCATGATATGTACAGTCAAATAGTATAAGTTGGCTTTTATATTAACATAAGATTTTGCATTTTTTTCACCGACGTGTACAAAAAAAAATAAATACCCTCAAATATATACTCCCTGTATATACCCCTAGCGTGGGCGTCAGATACACCAATTGATTTTTTWAAATTAATATCATAAAACAATGTTTTTAAACCTTAAAAAGGTTGTTCAWGTCGATAAACAAAAAATACCTTTTATCCCATTAAAAATACATAGTTCACATAAATATATAGTATATACATAGTGGTAACATAATCATTATACTATATAGGGTACAGTAAGCATTTTACCTATATAGTGCGTACCAACTTACATTAACTCTAGATCTAATAAACATTTATTTTATATAATATTAAATATATCAACCGAATGTAATATTGAATTTTTCACATTTACGTAATATTGTTAATATAATGTTTTCAGAAAATTCTATAAATTATTCTTCGCTTAAAAGATTTTTATACATCTATTCAAATCTGTAGTTATTTAATATTTATATTAATTATATTATATAATACGTGTAGTTCACATATACCTATTTATTTATTCTATTTTAAATAATCATTATGTTACAATTGTTTTATATGACGTTAAATATCATATAAATGGGACATATTTTTTCGTAGTAAACGATATTATTATTACTAAAATTGTCAGTATAGTTTATTAAACATATATATAATATAGCCGAAGTGCTGTTGCTGGACAGTCTCTTCAATTCAAGATTTTCATGTAAAATAAAGGCGGTCCCACACGAATGGTGAACTGGCCAATATTTGTCACTGGTGATATATGACCAACATTGGTCTTTGCTACTACACGACTGGTGTATATTCACAAGTATATACTGGTGTATATTCAATGCCCAGCGCTGGTATACTTGTCATGGTAATTGTATATTCTCCCACATGGATTGTRTGATATGTAAAATTCGCACGGCCAGTCACCATGTAGTGCCATGCCGTGTGGGAGCAAACGCCAAGTTGAATGTAAACATTGGTGGTCCTTTGACTTGTATCAGGTTTACCGACAATCCTCCGGTACGAGCCAGTAACCAACAATTGTACTTGTGAAGCCTCCCATACGACTGGCGTAATGTCACCAGTGACAAATGTTGGCCAAGTACACCAGTCGTGTGGGACCGGCTTAA